ATGACCTGTTAGTCACTTGCCATTGAACCTTCTATAAGAAACTGAACCCAGATTCACACTGAAAAGTGGAGGGACAAAGAAGTACCTTGTGATATCATTATTTGGCCTCTTATTTCCATACTGGTCCAAATCATAAAGGTCACATGATCCAGAACTGAGGAAAGAAGTTAAAGGAAGATTTAATGGAATTTATAATTCTGCTCCATCTGATTTAGCTTAACACAGAATGCTAATACAGAATGCTTTTACAAAAAAAAAGAAAGTTTTTGTTTCTGTTTTTAAACTGCATTAATTGGAATTGATCTTTAAAAAGTAGGAAGGGGAAATAAACAGCTTTTAGTGTGGGTAGAACTATTTGTAAAACACCGATACTATACTGGACAGCCAAGTTTGGCCTTGTACTCCTGCTTGCCCCTCCTGTATTGAGATTCTTCAGATTCTTGATGCTAACCATGAAGAACAATCTAAGATCCATGATGTATGGCCACTCTGAGTGGCTGAGCATAGAGAGCAGTCTAATGGGACATGCATGAAGACAGGAGTCAACATGTAACCATGAAATGCTACCACTTAGGCGCGGCTTTCCCCCTCTTACTAGATTTTTATTGTTATTTTTTTTTATTTCAATCCTTCTAAATATCCTTTCCTTAAATTAAACAGAAGACAGACCATCATCATCATATGTATAGTATCTATTATGCACTAGCATTCAGGAAGTAGTATGGGTATTTTCTCATTAATTTTCACAAACAGAAATCTGAGGTAGGTGTGCTGATTGTCACTACACAGTGAAGGTGATGTAACAGTGAGAGCTTGTGTGGCCTGCACAAGGCGACATGGCTGCCAACAACTCTGTTTGTATGTGGATGACTTACATGCATTCATGCCACAAACCATGATTCCACGCCTTATGTGTGAGGAAATATAGACTTAAACATTTAAAGGCTTCATCAAAATACCTTACGTGTTTGTTCACAATTCTCAGAAAATTAACAAAGATAATATTGTTGAAAATGTAACGTGAATTTAAAAGCTTGACTTCAAAAAGATCTCCTTTCCCCAGAACTTATCTGTGGGAAATGTCTCTCCATCCTTCAGTTCACGATCCTGGGCCACAGGGCAGACAGTAAGCAGGTCATCTGCATCCCTTGAGAGTCAAAACTTTTTTCTTCATTTATTGTTTTATTTTCCTCCAAACTTTGTTTTTTTTCAGTTTAATCAACATGCACAAATACTTTATTGTTCAAAATATGAAAGCAATTCAGAAGTAATATAAACTCCACAGCAGTTAAACAATACTAGAGCAAAGACTGTTAAATTTAGTGCAATCATCATGTATCATTTATGTAATGTATGTATGTAATGTCATAAGAGTTCTTGTTGAACTCTTGTTGATTTTGGGGGTGCACATTAACAGGTACTTCCTTCATCCCTAGCATTTTCCTTGTTTGAGCTTGCTTTGTTAGTCTGTCAGCTCAGGATTGAGTCCTGCTACCCGGTGTGGTAATTTGTAGAATATACATCTGTGACTATAAAGTTTAGCATCTCCTCAGTCTGGGTTGACCCTGTCCCTTAGAGACTGGAGGAAAAGCATCTCATCTATTTATGCTTCCTGCAGTAATTTTCAGGTCTTACTTTACAGTTTGGAGAACTTTCCATCAAAGTCACCTGAATATATCCTTTTTTTTTTCCCCGGGCGGGGGCGAGGGTATAGCTTTTCAATTCTCATTTCTTACAGAATAAAATGTAGTAATTAACTGGTTTTAGAAAAAAGTAGTTCTTAATCTAGATATCAAATATATCGAATAAATGAAGTTTGCAGTAGTTGGTTTGTTGTGCTACAGCCCTAGTGTATTTTAATATCACTGCATCTTTGACTTTCATAATTTTTCTCATTCACTTTTAAAGAAGGTCTTGCTATGTTGTCCAAGCCTCACATTGTTCATCATCCTGCCTTAGCTTCTAAGAAGCAGTAGGAATACTAGAGTATGCCATCGCATATAGTTCTCCCTTTTCTCATTCTCGGTGTTGATTATATTTCGGCTAAACCTGCCTCTTTAAAAGAAGTTGAATTTTCCACAGTTGATTGGCTTCACTGTGTTACTCAGAAAGCAGATTTATCACATAGCATAGTGCTGCCTGCCTCTGGCTGGGGTCCTCTGCTGCGTTACATTATAATGGATGGGACCATGGTAGATGGGCAGTTGAGAAAAAAGATCAGATAGTAAGACTGGAAGCCATAAGGAATTTGGTGTCTCCTGTAACAATTTGCTATCACCCAGACGTCATGGCATGTTTGTAATTCTAGCACTTGAGAGGGTTTCTAACTCCAATCCAGTGTAGGCTACAAAGTGAGAGCCTGTCTCAAAGAAAACAAAAAACAACTCTGAAGCTCTATTGAGAACTTACTCAGGCCTCTAGGAGAACTATTTTTATCCCTTCCAAAGACATACCCACAGTGACCCAATGACCTCCCATTAGACTCTAACTGTTGAAATCTCAACAGTTTAGCACCACTTCCTTTGAAGTAAACTTCTAAAACACAAGTCTTTCAGTGAGAAGGTACATTGAAAATACTTCCCAACCACAGTAGACACTATCGGTGTGATTGGACAGACCTTCTGTGCATCATTTTGCTTGTTGTGTTGAATATTAAGCCACTTAGATATCATTCTTGTCATATGGATCTTATAACACACACACACACACACACACACACACACACACACACACACACACACACACACACACACAAGCTGTATGTATAACCTTATAGGTTAAAAGTTTTCATATACAATTTTATTTGTTCTTCAAAAAACAAATGTTCTTAAGTACTTATTTGCCACTTTCTGAAGTTGATGTTAGCATAGCTACTTTTGAAAGAATGAGAAAGTAAATAACATAAACTCTCAGGTTTAGCTCAAGATGAATGCTTGAAATAAAACTTTCATATAGTTATTTGGGGAAAGCCCCATGTAATTTTAAGTTTTATTTAATTAGCTTATCTTATTAGCTATTATCTATATGTTTATGTCCTCTGTGTGTCAGCTGGCTGGACCTCATAGATGGAAGTTTCCAAATTGAACAATTCCAACAGCATTGAGTTTGACTGATTTTCAACCCCCTGTGTGGTTCTAGATGAAAGACATATATGAAGTAGCCCGTCTGTACCATTTTAATTTGTCTTTGGATGGCGTAGGCTTTCTCAGAACTGATTTCTCCCAGTAGCCTTCCTGAGGACGTTCTGCCACTTGCTAAACTAGTAATTCTTACAGGGAGCTGTTAGAGAATGCTCTGCCTTTTCTGAGATACTGGCACTCCCCTACCATACCCTAGTCAAACCTTCCATTCTCCTCAATGACTAACCTAATGCCACAGAAGCTCAGGATGAGGGGATGAGGCTAAGGCTGCCATGTGTCATTAGCAGTTGCCATCTGATGTACAATCAAATCCCATTAACAAAATTTGAATTGTGGACATGATGATTTCAGCAAGGTCCTTGAATGCTTTATATTCTCCGTCACCCAGAAACACTTGATCATACATTTTGTCTTGTACCTTATGTGGTGCTTTACAGTAAGAGAACTGCCGGGGTTTAGCCTCTATCAGTCCCATGCTACAGAGACCATCTATTCTGGGCTGATGTCTTGGGGCTGCAATGGGAGCCATCCGAACAGCCCTGGGTCCATCCCTGAGTCGGAGAGTGTGGATCAGGAAACTCCTAGCTACCCAGCAGTGTTAAGGACCACACAGAAACATCTTGTCATCTCAGAAGGGCTCTGAGTCCATGCTGGAGAATGGAGTTCTTGGTTTATTCAAGCATCCTCTTAAATAGTTTTCCAGCTGAGGGGGTGATATCAGAAGACATCTATTATCATGTATAAAGCTGATATCAAATATTTCCTTTAATCCTAGGGTCATGTCCTTACCAGCCTCTCACCAATCCCTAGGCAGGGATATAAAACCCTCAGAATAGGTGTGGGCCCACCCAGGGCCTAGGTCTATTGTTATGCCAAGCAGTCAGGAGGTAATTAGCCTGCATCTGAAAGAAAATTCAGGCTCCTGGAATCCAGCTGAGGTTTGCATCCCCAAAGTATCATAATCTTTTTTTTGGCCCAGACAGAGAACAAAAGTTTTGACTAAACTACTGCTTTAAGAAAGCCTTGTGTCAGGCTGGAGAGATGGCTCAGAAGTTAAGAGCACCTGCCTCTTTTCCAGAGGTCCTGAGTTCAATTCCCAGCAACCACATGGTGGCTCACAACCATCTCATTATGAGATCTGGTGCCCTCCTCTGGTGTGCAGATATACATGGAAGCAGAATGTTGTATACATAATAAATAAATGAAATCTTAAAAAAAAAGAGAGAGAGAGCTTTGTGTCATTGACCATGTAAGCAAAAGTGAGTTAAGGAAAGGTATTATTATTGGCTTATTAACTTCTCATACTTGAAAAATAACTGCATATCATCTTAGTGTTTAAATGAGTAACTGTCTTTTTAAAGTTATTATTTAGAATTTGTTTTCGTTAATTTACAATTTATACTTAAATATAGTTCTTGAAAACTAAAAAAAAATTGTGTATATGCATGAAAAATCCAGTTGTTGATTTAATTATCATATTATGGTTTCTAATATTTTCAACTCACATAAAGCAAATAAGAACTTAAACTTTTCATTCATGGAAAACTTGTGATTGGAGTTTTGTTATGTATCAGAATATATATTCAATGAGGAAATTGACCCTCAGCAAACTATAAACATGTATTCCTTTTAAGACATGCATGTTTGACATCAAACCTAAACGAGAAGATGGTGAAGTGTGTGTGTGTGGGCGGGGGTGGGGGGTGGGGCGGTGGAGCATGCAACCACAGCACTGGAAAATCCACCTACATGTCCTGGATTTGTCTCATCTGGAAGGTAATAGTGACTTTGAAGTAGAAAAATGTTGCTTCATCTTTCTATAGCCAGAGCGGCATTAACACATGTCCATTTTTTCCCCAGCACACTGACTTATGTCAGTACATGGACAAGCACCCTGGAGGACTCCACCCAGAGAATGTGAAGGTAGGAAAAGGGATAAAGCCAACAGTTCACATGCTTCATATGCATTTTTTGTTTGTTTTGTTTTTGTTTTGTTTTGTTTTTCGAGACAGGGTTTCCCTGTACCTTTGGAGGGTGTCCTGGAACTAGCTCTTGTAGACCAGGCTGGTCTTGAACTCACAGACATCCACCTGTCTCTGCCTCCCAAGTGCTGGGATTAAAGGCCTGCACCACCACCGCCCGGCTTCATATGCAGTTTTCGAGCCTAAGACTAATATCTCTGCAACCATTTGAAAGGTTTTTTTTTGTTTCAATCTTCTGTGTAAAAGATATCAAATTAAGAACAACCCGTTGTTGTTTTAATTGGTTGAAATTAATTTTTTAATTAATTTTTTAATTAATTAAATTAATTTCATTAATTAATTAATTAATGAAATTAATTTTTACGTTAAGTAGTTTTCCTATAGGAACACTTAGATTTTTTTTTCAGTACTTTGTGGTACCTTTTATATCATATGTTTCATATAATGAAGTAAATGATAATTTCAGATAACTGAGTTCAAAGAGCATTTGTGATGTATAAGTTGAGAGCATTTGCTCAAGTTTTTGCAAAACAAAAATATACAATTTGTCTGTTCTTTCTTCAGGCATTTACTATATCCTATTCCTCTTGAGTTTTTTCATCTTGGTTTTAAGAATGTTGTCATGAAAACTAAAGGAAGATTTAAAAAACTGATTAGAATATGTTTCTTGTTATGGCCACATGTTGATAACTGTGTATTTTGATTCTCTTGCTAGGATTCAGACATTTATACATGAGTTTCCTACTGTACTTAAGAGTTTTATTAATTGTTATGATTAATGTTAACAACATTGTACTAAAAGAAAATGTCAGTTTAAAACAGAAAAAAGAAGGAAGGGAGGGAGGGAGGAAGGAAGGGAGAGAGGAAGAAAGAAAGAAAGAAAGAAAGAAAGAAAGAAAGAAAGAAAGAAAGAAAGAAAGAAGGTACCACTCTAGCAAAAGTGAGATGGTGAAAAAACAGTTTGAAAATTTTTATGCAAAATTATTTCCAACCCAGCATTACATTCAGACCACCAAGGGAAGAATTAGGGTGAATTGTATTCATGCCCATTATAATGACAGCATCACAGTGATGTGGTCCATTCGGGACTCACATTTCACAGAAAATAAATATCAGAATCACTGACATTGAGACATTTATTAACAGACCTTTGTTCAATGTTTATTTCCCTATGCTACAAAATTAATACATTACATTATTGTTATTAGCTGTAATATGACATTATAAGCAATTGGTCATGTGGGTTTATCTCTATTTTCATATTGAAGATAATAGTGATCTCTGAAACTACAAAAAAATTAGAAACTAGACACATTGAGTTTGAATATCCTGTGTTCTGGCATCTGACTTGCAGACCATGGATGCTGACAGCCCCACTTCCTTGGGAGGCTACTCACCTATTTATATGTTGATTTTTCCTCAGGGTTACATTTATGAGTTACACTGCAGGTGAAATTATTCTCAAAGGTGTCTGACAATGACATAGTGACAGATGTCCCATGGGTATTTCTGTTTGATATACTAACATATTTTTCCATGTGGTGTTATTTATTGTTGCTTAAATCCATGAATACAAAATGAAGAACATAATAATAATATTTACTAAATTAACAACTGTTCATAATGCTGGGTTAGATATTGATTAAAAGGAAACTGGTTGAGCTAAAAATAAGACATTGAAACAGTTCTGTGTTTTAAGAAGATTTAAAAATCAGGCAAATGTTTTTACTTTAGAGAGTATACCCTGGGCTGTCAAGATGGTTCAGTGGGTCAAAGTAGTTGTCACACACAGGTTTGAAGACCTACTTAGAATCACATGATCCCATTGTGGAAGGATAGCACCGACTCCAAAATTTGTCTTCCACAATCACTTATATGTCCACACTCCCATATAAACCATACAAAAATAGCAATACAATATTTACATTAAAATATATATTAAGAGGCCGTGTCCTTTTAATTAATCTTGTTCAGTGTTTGACTAAATCTGTCAGGTATCATCAAATAATCAGAAGACATTGCTCAATACAAATTGTGGTTAAAAAAAAAGTGAAACAATCAAATTCTTTTGCATACAGGTTTGTCAGTTTTGACTACTAGTTTTCTCAGTATGCAACTTGACAATGTATAGAAATGTCTTAAAATTTATCTTAAATTTACAGATTTTCTTTGTTTTTATTTCATACATACTTTTTTGCTATAAAATGTCAGCATAAGATAGGGAGATGGCTCCATGGTAAGAGTTCTTGCCACCAATTCCAAAGACCTGGATTTAGTGTCTAGAACCCACATGGAGAGAGCAAACACCCACAGCTTTTCCCCTAAAGCACAGTGTCACACATGCTCTCTTTAAGCATACAGACAGATGATAGAATCTATAAGGTCAATGCACTTGTAAATTGAAGGAATTTTTCTTTAAGTTTGATTTGGGCAGAATTTCAAGTACCACAAACATACTGTGTTCTGGGAGAATAGAGAGAAAGAGAGAATACCTGGACTGCCCTGTGGCCTGTGATGCAGGAGCATCTGGAACATTTTTTTTAAATTAATTTGGTACTAATTTTGGGCAAAATCTTTGTGAAAGTTGTATTATTTTTGTGTAGCATTCTTGGGAAGTACTGGAATAAGGTCAGGAAAATAAGTCAGTGTTAACTGAATTCCCCAAACCACGATGCTTGCTTTAATTGCCTACAGAATGTGTCTGTTATTACTGTGGTATTCTGAAATAAATATTAACTCTTAACTAATAGTTCATTTCTAAGCATTATATACATTTTTGACAAATGAGTAATTTCAGCAATTAGTTACTTAGAGATCAATTTAAAACCTGATGTAAAAGCCCGAGGACAGGGCCTTATTATAAATATTTATGATGATTAAAGACATAGCAACCCATTTCTACAGCATGAAAATTGGCACATAGGAACCTGCTTAGCTTTCTTGGAGACTACTTATTTTTCCATATTTTAGATACTGTCTACTTTAAAGCATACTAGAGTTTGGTCATAATTGAGCTACACACAAAACTTGTATCAGTTTGTAATCTTATACCTATTAGTGAGCTGTAGATTGGCTATTGAATTTTTTAAACACAGAAACAATTTAAATGTTCCCCTTTATTCAGGTTTCATGTATTTAAAAATTGATAAACCCGAGAGACTGGAAATTAAGGTTCATGGAAAAAAAGAAAAGATTAATTGATGCTGTCTGTAGCTGACATAGTTGTAGATGATGGCATGCTATTATCATGATGAGATTGGGTCTTCCTGTGTTTTATGTAATGTATTTCCATTTCTGTGGTTTAATGACTTTTCTAAATGATTCTTTGCAAAATTATATTTCCCATTTAAAAAAAAATAACTGAAAACTACCAGCGTAATTTTGAACTCCCTGCGTTATTCCCTGACTAATCTGCAATACTCTTGGTATAAAAACTAACTCTTGGTTATCATTTCAATTAAAATAGTATGAGGTTTATTATGGTTGAAAAGTTGCTTTCTCTTTCTTAATCCAGAAAACAAGCAGGTGTATAACAGATAAAATAATGTTATGCCAAATTAAGATTGTCTTATACAGATGGCACTGAGAATTGGTTCCAAAATGAGACTTTGTGCTGTTTAGAGAGAAAACCAAATGACACCTGATTTTTCTCCACAGTCTTCATTAGAGCTCTCACTGACCTAGTAATTATACCCTCTGATTCATACCCAGGAATACTATAGAGCTTTTCCTATTTCTGTATGTTAGGAAATATGATTTTTACACAAGCCCATTAAATATTGTTTTTAAAAAATTCTACATGAATTCTTAGTGACTGCCTAGGAATGTCCTGAACACACTTGTCCTGTTTTTGTTATGAGAAATAATATTCCCTATCCAGAAATTAAAGGTTTGATAATAAAATTATGATAAAATTGTACATATCAGTTCATATTTTATTAGACATGCTAGGGGGCAGCTAAGAAGTGAATTTTTGTCATTAACATGTGGGGTCAGCATTTCAGTGATTCCATTTGCTGATATGTTTCTAAACCACTTGGATCTGACAGGGGAAACGAGGCCAGATGAGTAAATAGTACACTCTTCAGTTGCAGTATTTTAAAACTGGAATTTAAAGGGTGGTAGAATGCAGCCGCTGGGGGCATGGTATATGTAGTTTTGAGGCAGAAGCACCCAACAGGATGTACCCAATGGGAACAGAGAACATGTCATCCTGGGATTCAGACTTTAAGCCAGTCTATTCTCCCTGCCTCTCTCCATTCATCAGTGGACATTACGCAGTAAATTAGTGTTCCATGTTCATTAAGTCAGACAAGATGCCCATATGGGAAATCCGAAGGTGCAGTGAGTTGCATACTCTACTTAAGGATCTTTCTGATTGTCTTCAATAAGCATGACTTTTGTGTGACAAGCCAGCAAAGTCCATAGGTGGTATCTCATTACTGTTAAGTTTCTATTACTTCACACACCACTCGGAGGTTATTAAGAGAAATTCATTGGCTAAATATACCCATACTCATAAGTCTTTGATCATTATATTTCACTTGAAATTATTTATTCTATGTGGTGTAGCTTCCTTTGATGAATATTCCCCAAGAATTTTAGACTTGATTCATTATTTGTCAGTCTTTTGGGCTCTTTTAAAAATCTCTTACTAAAACAAGTTCATATTTACCCCATATCAAGATATTTCATGTTGATTTAGTCTCTAAGATGTTGTTATAGACACAAAAATCATTGAAATATAAATGCTTGTTCATTTTCATTGTGTGAGAACAGAATTTCTGCAGAGTTTTTAAGTTTGGACTGATTGGCAAATTTCCTTAAATAGAATCCTTGTGTTCTGGTCAGTTTCCTGTCAATTTGACACAAACTACAATCATTTAATGCCTCCATAAAGTTGGCCTATAGGCAAACCTGTCCACCTCCTTGGATAATGAT